ACTCTCCCTCCAAGCAATAGCCGCCTCCCTGTCCTCCACGCCAGAACGGATTAACGGTAACCTTATGGGAAAATTTGCTTCAGGTCGCAACCAATTCGGGTCACGACCAGAGTCACAGAACAAATTAAGTTCGTAAACCAAGGTTCCACTGTATATAACAACAACAACAACAACAATTGCAGTTGCAATTTGAAGATAATTCACAATCCCCTTTATACCTGCTAATCTTAAAATCCTGAGTACAAAGAGCAAAAACCTTTGTCCTGTGTTTCTACTGAAAAGAGAAATAAACTTGCTTGCATCCTTATCTATATGGTGTGTACATTTATCTGGTCACTTTACAAATAAACAATTTTTTAAAAAATTGTGGTTCCTGCAAGCATCAGGTAATCTTTCCCTTTGTAAAATAGAAATAGAGCAGCCTTAAATTCTAGAGTTGCAGTGTTTTAATAAAAAGATAAATACTATGTTTTTTTCAATAGCTATGTCAAAATTGGCCCAATTTTCAAACACCCCATAGAGAATGGTCTAATCGGAACATTGTGAGTGCAGTTCATGCATTCATAGAAACGGAACAGAAAGCATTTCAGGTATTTCAGATATGTTCTGCCTTTGCAGCATTTCCTGTTTCAGAGAGTCCACTTCCCTAAAGACACAAGTCCCTCCAAAATGCTTGGATCAATGCATTCTGTACATCTCTTCTTTTTCAGTAGCTAATATAATGAAGGTCTTCTATAATAAAATAAGTGCATATACCTCTCACCCTCTAACAATGATAGGGTTAAATGAATGAAAAGTCTTCTGGGGAACATTCAAAATATTGTACAATATTTCAGAAAATAGAAAATTAGATGATATCACCAAAAGAGTACTCTATTTCAGATCTATGAATGCCTTTTATACTCAGAGAAGCATCAGCCATGCAAAAGAGGGAGGTATTATTAGACTAAAGAAAATCCTGAAGTCTTAAGTATGTGCATTCTTTAGGGGGAGAAATTGCTTAAAGCAAAAGTAATGAAATAATTAATTTGAAATCTGTACATGTTCAGTGGGCATTGAATGATGACTGATTATAAGAACAGGAAAATGGAAAAGTGTAGTGAATGGAATATAACCATAGCCAGGTGTAGTGACTACCTCAGTTACCGACCATTTGCAAGTGTGATGGTAATACAGGTAGTCCTGGGTTAACGACCATTCATTCAGCAAACTTTTGAAGTTATGGCAGTGCTGAACAACTGGTATTTATGCCTGGCCCCCAAAGTTACAGCCATTGCAGCTCCCCCATGGTCACGTGAACAAAATTTGGGCACTTGGCAGCCTGCCCGCACTTACGACTACAGGGCGCTTCAACTTCCCACACCCGCCTATCTCCTCCCCATCTCTGCCCTGTACAACAGTGCTTCGTGGTGGTGGTGGCACCAGCATCACTGGGAGTGAAGTAGAGGCCTGGGGCCTTCCGCAGTCTCAGCTGGCTGCTGCCAACCCCAAGACTCTAATCCCAGCAGCTGCCACCACCACTAAGGAGTGCTGCCTCAAGCCTCATGCTGCAGCCAGCCATCCCAGAACCACAGTGCAAAGACCAAGCTGCCTTCGTTGCCTTGCACTCTGCCGTCTCTGCTGCCCCAGCTGACCTTCAGTGTTGTCTTCCTCCCACTGTTAATGAGGCATGCCCAACCTGGCCCTATGCGAGGGCCTTCTTCCCAAGAATTATCACAAGAAAGCTGCACATGATTTGGAGAAGGGCAGGTGCAGCCTTCTCACGAGCTTTAGGAAGGCCTCAGAAGCCTTCTAAAGCATCCCAAGAAGGCTGCACGATGTGGAGGCAGGCAGGCATGGCCTCCTTGTGAGCTTTCAGAGAGCCTCAGAAGCCTTCCAAAGCATTGTAAGAAGGCCATGCATAATTTGGAGAAGCATGCACGTGACCTCGGGAAGAAGGCATGCATGGTCAACAGCTGCCTCGCATAGGGCACAGCTGGGCACACCTAAGCAGCAGGAAGAAGAAGATGGCAAAGGTCAGCTGGGGGCAGCAGGGCCGATGGAGTGCAGCGCAGCAGGGAGCAGCTGAGGGTTTGCTATGTGGTGCTGGAATGGCTGGCCACAGCATAGGGCTTGAGGCGGCACTCTGGTGGTGATGGCAGCACCAGTGGCGCAGGGGCTGAAGTAGAGGCCCAGGGACTGTCAGCAGCCAGCTGAGTCTGCTGAAGGCTCCCAGACCTCTATTGTACCCCCTGTGCTGTCAATGCCACCACTGCCACCAAAGAGTGCTGCCTCAAGCCCCATGCCATGGCCAGCCACCCCAGCGCCACAGCAGTAACTGGGGTTTGGGGAAACAAAATTATGAGTACTTTTTCTTAAGTAGCTCTCCCTTGTGAGCATCACATACAGATGCTTCATTAATTTTCTGCTACAAGAAATCTGCCAGTGATCGTGAAG